TTTACATTTTCAAGTTAAAAACCAGCTCTAGTTCAGGCTGATCATGTTTTGTGGTGAGAGTGTTTATTAATTACCTGGCTCGGATTCATGGATAGATCCTCAGGACTTAAGGCGTCTTTTGGCCCCCATGAAGACCCACAGGAGGAGTGGGGGAGGGAGGAGGCGTGATTGCTCAGACTTTTCACTCCAGCACGCATCCCTTAAAAATACCCACACGCTCGTGCAGCGGAAGTTTTTAAGCAACCTTATCTGCAACTTTATCTGAGTTGGAGATGTGCTGCAGAAAGACGGGTCAAAGGGGGCCCGCCGGGCTGCTGCGGGACAGAGGCATTAAGGTGTGGGAGGGTTGGGGGGTATGAAACACATGCCAGGCCTGTCATGTTCAATTTACAGTTGACAGAAGAAATTAGCGTCCAGTTTTAGAGATGAAGTCTTTGTGCAGCACAGAGAACATGGCTGAGAGGGGGAAAAACAACGCTCCAAAACGAAACGCACAAAAAGCTGCGAATTTCCTCCTCGTGTCTTGTCTCCCCCTCCCCTCCCTCTCCCCCTTCACAAACTGTGCGTTTACTTTCTTCCTCCAGTTGTTTCACCACGAGCTGCCTGCGTGTTTGACTCTCACTGCAGCTCAGAAACGGTTTGACGGTCATTTATCATCAGCTCGCGAGTGTTTCAAACTATAAACACCATCTCCGGCTCCGAGACAGGAGGAGAGGAGGTGTGTGTGGGGAGTGTGGGGTGTGGGGTGAAAGGGGGGGGGTCACCCATTTACCCCCGCGGCTGCTGCGCTAAACGCTGCAGATAAAACAAACGATAATACTGTCTGCCTCCCGAGAGCGTCTCCACAGGCATTAATGATGGAGGAGGCGCGGAATGCGTCATTACGCACAAACTTTACGTCTCTCTTGTTTCGCCGTAGCTCTATCAATGTTTGTTTTAATTCACATGAATTTCACTTAATTAAAAGGATTTGACCGATATCTGAGTTTGACAGAAATTGATTTTAAAAATATAAAAACTGTCATTTTTGGAAATAAAGAGTTTTTGTGTCAGGACTGATTGTTAAAGCAGAAGTGTGACAAAGGACACTGTAGTGTAGAACATCCTGGCCTGCATTGTAGGAGGGGTGGGGGTGGGTGCGCGCGCGCGAGTGTGCGTGTGTGAGGATTTGTTGTCGTCTGTTATCACATCCTGATAAGGCAGACAGCGGCTCCAGAATCTCTTGGAGGCAGACAGGAGAGTGTGTCGCTTCTGGTTTCAGGTTCCGTGTTTCAGAGATTCAACCTGTTGTCAGAACCCCCCACTCCGTTTTATTTATTTATTTATTTTATATTTTTCTTGACGTTGTCTGCTCGTTCCCCCCCCAGTTGAAGGACAAACTGAGTCCCAAATAGACCTGTCAGATCCACTGGCCCAAAAATGTTGCAGTGCACGCGCGTAAAATTCTCGAGTTTTGTGCGTAATGACCAAAACCAAACCAAACAGGTCCGTCTCTTCATAAATCAGAGCTAAAAACCAAAGTGTGTATGCCAGTGTGCGTTTTTCCCCCTCGTCTGTTAGCAAAACATCTAACTCAAGACTCAATAACTTTATTGTAATATACAAATCAAAGCAGTGGTGGGTGGCACCGGCAGGGGACAATAAAAATCTTACTTTGCAAGTTCCTTCTTGCAACTGAACTGAAATAAAGAAAAGGTTAGGTTGAAATGTCCATTCAGAATCTTTGGTGCAAATTGTACTGTTACAGTTTCACAATGTGAAAATATTATTTTGATTGTGTAAACAAGCAAGGTATGTGCAAATGTCACATAATTTAGTTTAGAGATTTGACATGAAATCATTTGTAAATGTCCAATTTTGCACATGTTCAGGTCAGCAAATAAACAGCTAAGAGACGCCTCCGTTCTGTAGTTAGTCTGTGGTTTAATAATGTTTTTTAGTCTTTGCCTTTACACTTCCATCATCATCTCATGACACACAGAAAACACAAAAAAAATGCATGCCCTGCTCACCAATATTAAAGTTTAGGTACATAATGTAGAAAATATCCTTAAATCCAGTCACCCAACTTTTCCCCACAAATAACATGTTTGATTTTTTTTAAAAAGGGCAAACAATTAAAACATTTAAACATAAACAATTAAACAGATAAACCTAAAGTTTGCTGCAGCGCTGGTATTGATCGGCACTCTACAGGTGATTCAGTGTGGAAACACACAGCAAATGAGAATAACCTGCGATAAATTGTCAGTGCTCACATGGCTTGAAATAGCCAATGACTGGGACTGTAGTGTTTTCAAAAGCCACGTGTTTATCTTGTTTTAAGACAAGGAGCTGTCTGGCAACATCAGAAGGTTTATTATTAGCAAACCCAAAACCTCCAAAGAGTATAAAGCCATCTCCAAGAACCTTGGTGCCCCTGTTTTAACAGTGCACAACGTTATCAAGAAGTTTGCCGAGCGTGGAACTGTGAGGAACCTCCCTGTGGAGGGAAGGAGAAAATAATGAGATAAGTATCCAAAGGTTGGTGCAAATGGTGGAAACAACATATCTACTACTCAAAGACCTGAAGACCAGCCTGGAACAGTTTGGAGTTATGGTTCCTACAAGCACTGTATGCCACACATTAAACCAGGCACCACATTAACTACATCCAGACTGATTTGTTTCACCTCAAACTTGTCCTAAATGCCGAAAAAACCAAAGGGATGCTTTTTTCAAATAGGAAGTTGGTCCCAGCAGTTCTTCCTCCGATTTTATCCTCAAATGGTGTCCCCATTGAGTTTGTTGATTCCTATAAATATTTGGGTATCTTGGTCGACTCACATCTTTCTTTTAAGCTCCATGTGGAAAACTTGGTAAAGAAACTGAAAGTTAAACTGGGTTTCTTTTTCAGAAACAGATCCTGTCTAACCCTGAATGCTAGAAAACGCCTTGTATCTGTGACTTTCCTTCCCTCAATTGATTTTGGTGAGATTATTTACATGAACGCTCCTACAAGAACCCTGCAGATGTTGGATGCTGTCTATCACGGTGCACTAAGATTCATAACTGGCTGCGATTATCGTACCCACCACTGCACCCTGTATTCACTGGTTAACTGGACATCATTAACTTCACGCAGACTCTCTCACTGGTACATTTTCATCTTTAAATCACTTCTTGGTCTGCTGCCTTCATACATCTCCTCCTACATGTCTCTGCGTGAGTGCAGCTACGGAGTGCGCTCTCAGGACATTATTACCTGCAGTGGTCCCTCAGTGAGGACTGAACTAGGCAAAAGGGCCTTCTCCTACTCCGCTCCTGTTTCCTGGAATATCTTACAAAAAGATTTGAAGCTCTCGACCTTGACCTCTCTAAGTGGCTTTAAGAATCTGTTGGACTCCTGGCAGGGACCAATGCAGACATGTTCCTGTTTTTAGTTTTATACATTTGTCTCGGAATCTAGCAGTTTTTTTGGTTTTGTTACCTTTTTCCTTTTAGCCATCCTATTTGTTAAAAAAAAAAAAAAAAACTGTAGTATGAGTTTTTATAACTGCTTATTGTTGTTGCTGTTGTCCATTGTTGTCATCTTTCTTTGTTGAAATCAGGTCTCTCTTGTAAATGAGTCCTCGAGGCTCAATGGGATTTACCTGTATAAATAAAGGTTGATTGATTATGGGTGATGAATGAAAGCAAAGCTGGAAAAAAAAACAAAAAAAAAACAAAACAAATTGACAGGTCTTTGCCAAACCAGAGTCCTTCTGGGAAAATGTTCTGTGGACAGATAAAACAAAACTTGAGCTTTTCAGCAATCCTTCCAGTTTAAGGATAGCACAATGACGCTCACAAGGAAGAGAACACCCTCACAGCTGAGCATGGTGGAGGATCCATGATGCTCTGGGACTGCTTTAAGGCATCAGAGTATCACGTGAAATTGGAAAACTACCAAGAGATATGTCCCACCAGAAAGAAAACTTGACTTGACTTGACATCCAAAAACATGCAGGAGTGGTTAAGGAAACATGGACTGTTTAAAATGGCCAGCAATGAGTCCTGATCTCAATCCCATTGGAAATCTTTGGCACGAGCTGAAGTCTGCCATTTGACCTGCAAACATTCGAAGAGTTTATACAAACTGCAAAGGAAGAGTGCAGCAGAGAAGTGCAAAAAGCTTATGTACGTACAAGAACTGACTGGAAGCTGCCAAACGGTGTTAAAGCAAATATTAAAGAGGAGTGACAAGTTTGCTCATGGTTCCTCAGTTTCTCCTTGAAATTACAACTTGTGAGTTGAAACGCTTTTTCTTTTCAGGTCATTTCATTTGGATCTCCAATAAAAAAAAAAAAAACACGATTGAAACATTCGTTTATTTCTGAAGATATTGTACATGATGTGCAGAAAATAATGGGTTGCCAATAAGTAATGGACTGTAAGCAGACTGGGATAACATCTGGTGTGGGAGTAGCTGAGAGTCATTCCTCTAAACGCTCTGAACTCTAATACATCCCACCACATGTCGCGATCTTTCAAGAGAGCTTGAATGATCGAGGTTTGACATCAGACGATCTTTGTCTAAAAGTCTCAAACGTTGGTTTGAAAGGTGGCGGGCAACAGGCATTCCTTTAAGGAATGCCAGGCCTTTGATGTCGAGACAAAACAAGTTTAGGTTTTGGAACATTTTACTGGACGGATATGGGAATGTGTACTGGGCATCACTTCACGTCATTAAATCACTGCCCTGCCAGTGGCTCCCCTCTTCATCCTCCCCTCCTCCTGTGCCTCCTCCTAGCTGCAACACCAGGAGGAGAGAGAGGCCCAGTGGGGGTGGGGAGGGGGGCTTGGAGTCAGAGTTGACACTCAAAATGCACACTTCACTCAAGATCAGTGTGGGACACTCCACTAAGAGGTCATTGCAGTAAATATAATCAGGAGGGAAAGCAGCTTTGTTGACATCGTTTTTGTTGCCTCCACGTGACAAGAGTCATTCTTTTCACCTCCTTCTCTTGAGCTCCTTGGCCATGTTCCCCAGCCCCGGCACGTCCACTCCCTTTTCTGTCAAGGATATTTTAAACCTGGAGCAGAACCACGACGTTCTGGTGTCTTCTCTGGACGTTTGTCCTCGCATGGACTGCTCCTCCTCCTCCTCTTCCTCCTGCATGATGGCGCGCCTGAAGCAGGAGCCTCTCCAGGACCTGCAGGTCCCGGCCTCCTCCTCCTCCTCCTCCTCTTCCTCCTCTCTGTTCGGGCAGAAGGTCCGGGACTCCAAGGCCTGCAGAGGCAGCTGTGCTTCTGCCTTTTATGGCAAATCAGACGCGTTTGAGGAGAAACGGAGAAAAGGTGAGCTGCAGGGCCCAGAGATGATTTCCGGAAATTAAGAGTTTTATTGGCACAATTGTCATAAAATATTATCCAAACTAGAGAGATACATTACAAATATTTTAAAAGCTATTTAGACCATTCGTATCGCCATCATATCCATGTGTTTGACTATCTTTTGTCAAGTTTGTACACTTAAAAACATGAGGTCGCGTGCAACTGCTGCTTATTTTATTGCACCGAACCAAAGCTTGATTTTAACAATGAAAAAAATTAAATAAATAAATTGACCTGATCCATATCTGCCTGATTTAAAACTGATCCTATAAGGAAGCACAAAAGTGAGTCAAATTCTTCATTACTTGTTTAAATAATAATAATAATAATAATAATAATAATAATAATAATAATAATAATAATAATAATAATAAAAGAAGTAGATAAGTTTCTTGAATTTGGAGCCTTGTGTTGTTTGTGTTGTCACTCGCGCGCGTTGTTTTCGTCATTTTTATATTATTAAGACAAACAATGAAGGCTTGAACTTTTAAGAAGTTGCGTGCATTCCCTTATTTGTTTTACATTTCTGTGTGTTCCACAAAATAAAGAGTCCAGCGCTCCAACGGAGGCTGTGGAGGACACCAGAGGAGACGCGGAGCGCGCCAGGCCCCGCAGGCGCAGGAAGCCGCGCGTGCTCTTCTCGCAGGCGCAGGTGTTCGAGCTGGAGCGCCGCTTCAAGCAGCAGCGGTACCTGTCCGCCCCCGAGCGGGACCACCTGGCGGGGGTGCTCAAACTCACCCCGACCCAGGTGAAGATCTGGTTCCAGAACAGGAGGTACAAGTGCAAGCGGCAGCGGCAGGACCAGAGCCTGGAGATGGTGTCCCTGCCGCCGCCCCGCAGGGTCTCCGTGCCTGTGCTGGTGCGGGACGGGAAGCCGTGCGTGGCGGCGGACTCGGCCGCCTACAGCCCTCCATACAGCGTGGGGCCCATCAACCACTTCACTTACAACAACTACCCGGCTTTCAGCAACTACACGGGCCCCGGCTGCAACAGCAACTACCCCTGCAGCTACCCCCAGAGCGTGCCGGGCCCCCCCGGAGCCGCCGCGGCCTACATGAACTTTGGGGAGCTGAACAATGCGCAGAACTCGTTTTCTCCCAGTAACGGGGTGTCTTCATTACACGGCATCAGGACGTGGTGAACCTGAAGAAACTCCTTCAGCTGGACTGCATGCTGCTTAAAGGTTTACTTTGTTGTTGTTGGTTTGTTTGTTTGTTTGTTTTCAGCACCAAGTTTTATCTCATTATATTTTCATTATATTTGAGCATCATGCGCTGTCGATTTTCTGCTGAAAGGTTAATATGATAAATAAAAGATTAAGCTTTATTCATATATGCATTTAAAATTGGCCAACATTTAAGTGTTTCTTTTTTGTTGTTGTTGTTGATGTTTTAAAATAGATTTTTTTTTTTTAAAGTTTTTCTGTTCTGTTTCTGCCCATGCTCAAAGTCAAAGAACTGAATTCAAGGTTTTACTGCAGACCAAACCAAACGTCCAAAGAAATTCAGCAGAAAGTTACAAGTAAAACATTTAAAGCTTTCAAAAACACAAAAGCAAATAGCAACAAATCAAATAAACAATCAATAATAAGAAAAGTGCAACAAGTTTAAATCAGGCTCTTCATCCTTTATACTCATTATGGTAAAATGCAGGTTTTATTCAATTTCAACTTATTTTCCTTTTTTCTTCCAGATGAAGTGTGCAGACTGTCAAGCCACCTTAACGATTTAGGGTTATTATATATTATAAATAACATTAATATTTTTTTTTTCTGTTTCAATGCCCTAAATGTTTATTGTGCTTTATTTATTTAAAACTGTTCGAGGCACCAACAGCGATCGTTTAACAGAAGTAAACCTGATTTTATTGTCAGACACCTCAGATACAGTGTTCCTTAAACAGACTGGTGAATAATGTTGAACAGAATGGGACAATGTTTTATATCGTTTGATTAATTAAGACCATTCTCCAGACTTTTTGCACGGATCGTCTGGGATCGATTGAAATAAAGATACAGGCTGTGATTTTAATTCTACTGCTGATAGTTGCGAACATATTGTGATAAAGTTGTCTTTATTCGTCTCTTTGCATTCTTTCTTCATAGACCCAACACTCTGTGTTTTGGGACTCGGTGGCAGGAAGAGATCCAACTCGCCAAGTGTTTGAAATATAACAAGTCGGGGGTCTGCAACATGTGGCTCTTTAGTCCCTCTGCAGTGGCTCGTTGCTTTGAAAACAAAAGGAATGGAAGTAAAAAATATTTGTACTGTATTCTCAACTATTCCAAAAATACAGTTTTAGCAGTCCTCCTGGTTTATGCAGAAATATCTGACTGGAAAAATACATAAAAATAGAAAAACTTTTATTAGTCACCTGCTTACTTGCAACGTGTTATTATTTAATTCAGTTTGTAGCATACAGGGTGAGCTGCCTCTAAATGGGAACAAATTCAAGGCCAACTATCGAGAGGAAAAATAACAGAAAGTGCAGTTTTGCACTTTTATCTCAGCTGAGGTCAAAATGAGTTGTTCCTGTGATAACAGCAGGAATTAGATCATTGGATAAAAGCTTACAGTTGAAGTAGGCTTTACCTTTATGAGAAGAAATTCAGTAACTCTTAACTCTCTGGTTTTGATATTTAGTGATAATATATTAGGATGCAACTTAAGGTTTTATATTTCAAAGTGGGACACTTTTTGAATTTACAGATTTTTATAAAGACTCACAAAGTTCAGTTTTATCAGAAGTTTTCACAAGAAATTATTTTCTTGTCCTAACATAAAATTACCCCTATATA